TCTATGTTGTGCTGCGTGTTATCTGACATCGAATTTACAGTGTGAGAGAGACTGTCAGAATTCTTAGTGCTGACTCATCCTGGAGCTCTTGATAAATTATGGCGCAATCAGAGGTCTTTGCTGAGCTCTATTAAAATTGCTGCTAATATAACCCCTGATTGCCCATTATTTGTCCAATTGTGTACTCAAAGCACGCCTAATATTAACCCCTTGGCATTAATAACAGACCCTCTTGCATTAGCTTTATTAAAAACAAAGCGTCGCCTCTTTGCTGTGCTTCAGTCTGGAATCAATTCAATTCGATTCGACAAAGACACTCGACCAGACATTGAATTTATTGTGGCTGCATAACTGTGACTTACGATTTGGCTAGAGGTTTCAATAAAGTCAATTCGTTATTTATGAAATAATTTATCTGTGCCGTATAGCAAAAAGTGATTTTGTATCTTATAGCCGTGCGCGCGCTCTCTAAAATGTGCATTTACTAAGTCATAAAAAGACTTAAATTACATATAAATTGTAAATCGCAAACGCACCATAAATTGCAGTTGATCGGGTAAAACTTGTTTATACCCTATTATAAATTAAATAATATATTATTCTCTCAACTTAGACCATTATTGTTCTCAGAAAAAAATATATCACACTTGGGAAAGAAGTTTAAAAATTATTGAGGCATACAGAATACAATTTTTTTACCCTGAACCCATTGAAAATGGGACGACGAGCTGAGTCGATATAGCCCTGTCCATCTGTCCGTCTGCCCGTCCGTCCGTCCGTCCGTCCGTCCGTCCGTCCGTCCGTCCGTCTGTATGAATGCGCCGATCTCAGAAGATACAAAAGCTAGAGAGCTGAAATTTGGCATGCATACTCGTGTATACCATGCGCTGTACGAGTTTATCTTATTTTTTCGATAACTCATTCGATAACGTTTTATCGAGAATAATCGAAAAATTGATTTTTTTTTTCAGACTTATTTAAACATTATTAGACCTAAAAGCTACCGATTTACTGTGTATATACATATGATGAATACAAACATTTTGTAATGAACAGATTTTGGATACCACGTCCCCAATTTGTAAAAAACGCATCCGGCACATTTGAACATTATGATTACGATCTGAAAATTTTATTATGATTGTATGTCTACAAAAGAAGTAGACGAAGTAGAGAAGTAGAAAAATAATATTTTTGTATTTATATCTGGTGTATGTATATTAAACTTTATATTTATAAATGACTTGATTTAGCAGGATAATTGTTTTCCGTTAATATTTAATTTTAAATGATTTATATTGAATTAACTATTTATTTGTAGTTGTATTCATTTTGATTATAGCTTTATAAAAATGTTTTAGGTTTACCCTTCTTAGAATAATTAAAGGCTGTCTAAAATCGGGTTCGATTTTTAGAACGTAGTAAAAATATTTGCATATTCATCTGCGCACTATAAATTGCTTTCCGCTTAATTGAGTTTGCAATTGTTTTCTAATTTTGGTCAGCACTTGGATCTCTGGTCTTTGGTCACTTCTTCTGTCCCCTTACCCTTGTGAAAGTCATTTTCACAATTGACCAATTTGAACTGAAGAGGTTCAAACATTTTTCACACACTCAGCAATGTGCCCCGGGCGCTGCAAATTTTTTAAGAGTGCTCAAAACACTTGAAAGTGTTGAATAATTCAAATGGATTGAAGAGGAAGAGTAAGAAGAGCTCTGAGAGAGACGAAGCCTCTGGCTAGCTCATACCGGAAAATAAATAAAAATAATTTGCGAAAAGCTCATTTCGAACAAATAAATTCGAGTTATGAGTTTGGCAGACTTCACGCATGGCTCATCCAGCAGAAAATAAAAGACGGAATGACAAATATTGTAAATTCATGGCCAAGGAATTTCAGACATCTCAGTTATTTATTTCGGCACATTAACAATGCGGAGACAGCCCCAGACACGAGCCCAAGCACAAGCCAAGCTCTCTGGCCCGGGGGGGCGGTCCGCATTTAAAATTGATTGTAAAATAAATTGAAATCAAACACAAACAAGTAAAAAGACTTTAGTCGAGACTGCTCGACTAGGAGATACCCTGAACCCTCCAATCTGATTGATATTCTAATCATTCTATACTTCTTTTATGTACATATGTATATGTACATACAGACACATGCATCCGCTCGCATGTATAAAAACGCGCGCTGCTAACTGCGCAGCAAGCAGCGACTGCGCTTGGAACAATTTGATTTCTAGACGTACAACTTTAAAACTTTCATGTATATACACAGTAAATTTGAATTCTCCAGGTCTAAAAGTGCTCAACTGAGGCTGAAAAAAACAAAATCAATTTTTCGATTATTCTCGATAAAAAAGTTATCGGATGATGCCAAATTTCAGTTCTCTAGCTTTTGTATCTTCTGAGATCGACGCACTCATACAGATGGACGGATGGACGGACGGACTGACGGACAGGGCTATATCAACTCAGCTCGTCGTCCTGATCAAGAATATATATATTTTATGGGGTCTGCGATGATTCCTTCTGCTTGTTACATACTTTTACACATAGCCATTATACCCTGATTTTCCATTTTCAATGGGTTCAGTGTATAAAAGAGGTAAATAAATGCGTATGTGAAATTAATACGTAAAGAGCTTTCGCACAAACTGTATAATTTAATTAGCGAACACTTGTTGGTCAATTATAATTATTTACTTCAAGTTTCCACTGTACTTGCAAATATTCCTTATAATACCCTGCTTAAGTAAAGAGTATGTAAGTAAGGAGTATGTATGTATATGAACTCGGAAACTCTAGGAACCGAACTTGGATAGTGTACAATGCTTCCAAAGACAAATCGAATTATATTTTATGACTGCGAAACTCCTCTTGTAGCGGCATAGCAAAAAAATAAATAGTAAAGGCAACAATTATTCCAAAGAGTGATAAGAATGATATAGAAGTTCCATTGAATTTCTACGCGTACTCTGTTTACAGGGTATTTGCAAGAGCAGCTACTTTTTTGTGATTGCTTATTTTATTGAGATTGATAAATTTGGCAAATATTTGCTATTGCCCAGTGCAAGTGTCAATTTATATCGTATTGTATTTTCATTTCCATTGATATTTTTTAGGGCAATGCCAATCGAATCCGATAAAATACTTGGCATAACTTTGATGGGTTATCACCATTAACTGCGAATGGGGTTGGGGCTGGGTAGAGTTTAAATTGTTTACAGTGACATAACTTCTGATAAAGCTTGGCAGCTTTTTAAATACGTCGGAATGTTAAGTAGATGAGTATCAAATATTACGTTCCTCAAATAGTATACGATAATATTAATAAACAATAGAATAGAATGGCACAAACAAATACAATGTAACGAATCGTATAGGCACTTCCTTTAGATAATATTACACACGAGCAGAGAAACATATGTTTCCCTGTACATTTATATATATGTACTTGTTTACCAAGTAGAACTTCCCTTTCGAATAGACAAATTATTATAGCCAGATTTCTCATGGAGAGAAAATTTTTGAGAATAATTGCCCTAGCCTAGCAGCTCAACTAAAAAACTCAAAGTCTTTAAAAATATTAATTATTATTGAGAATTACTCACCATCAGGAGGTAAATAATCTTGGCATAGACCGTAAACTGTGGTAACCTGAAAGTAAACGACAAGCTTAATATGTGTATACAATTATTATTATGGTATATAAATAGTTTAACGTATGTTCAGTTTTTTCGTTGTCGAATTGTACTTCCCCGTAGGGGCGGAAATTTAGATGTCACTTGACATTTGCCTTTTACGAGCGTATTTAATGAAAATGCAGCAGAAATTACGTTGGGGATTTGAAATTTAAGCTTCTCTCTCAATTAGCATTATTTTTTTTTTCAATTCCAGATTTTTTGACGGGCTTCCGCAGACTCCGATACTGCCGCCTTGTTGGGTAAGTCGAGCACATAACTTAAGCAGCTGGCGCTAACGCCCACATATAACAACAGTCATGACAAGATACCACACCACAAAGCACAAAGCGTTCGTTTCTCAACTTTAAGTCAGTTGCTCTGAACGAGTGTTTGACGTTTGCTAAACGGTTCGCCCAGTTAAATTGTAAACAATAAATTCACTGGAACAACAACAAAACAGCATAAATCTCACACTGACCGACAAAAGTATCTCGAAAGGAGTCAAAGCCCCAGCTGCTGCTCCTGTCAGCGGAAAACAAAGCGCCAAAGAATGTTTGTTGTAAAAACTGTAAAATGCTGCATCGCGGCAAAACCTTAGGACTCCTATGTAATCGAAATTGTAGACAAGTGTTGTTAAATACGTCGGTAAATGTGATAAGTGAATATATTTTATAAAAAATTGATTTAAAATAAATAGTTAGTAAATTTGTAACTATAGGTTAGCTTCTTATCCCATGGCTGGCCCAATATCAGCATTCAACGTGCCTCAAGAAGAACTTGGTCTTTCACAGTCTCACTCATCCTAACACCAAATGTGTAGGTCCACAGGACCTACAGAAATTCACAAATTTTTAACTTAAAACATAGATGTTACTTGGGCGTACTGTGATGATGACGTGGAGTAGCAAAAATTGTGTGAATAACTAGTGGGCGCTGACGAGCTATGATAGTAAGTTTAATGATAATTGGCGAAAAAGTAGGGAAGAAGGTAGATGTATGGATGGATAAATAAAACGAATGTGTTATGAATTCTTTTGGAATAAAATGACGTTTGTGTTGTGGAGTCGTGCTGCAATTAAATATATACATATATTATATGTTCGATTCTGCTGAAATTAATAAAAAGGCGTCTCATATAACTTTTAGTTTTAGTCAATGAGAGGAGAAGGAGGAAGAGATCTACTGTCACGCAAACGCAACAAACTTGGCCGGAGAAAACTTGTTAGCCCTACCCCCATGCCAACTACTAACACACTTGGCCAATAGGCTGAGAGTTCAGTTAAATGGAACGAAGCTCATAGGCATTTGCTTTGAGGACAACTTTAATATAACTGCATTTGCAAAATGATAGTGAAGACGAGGCGACACTGCTGGATCTTGGCATTGCTTTTCCCATAGTAGTTTGTGTCTTTTACGCGTTAGTTGCCCGGGCGTAGGTAGACAGGAATGCTGTTGTCCTCTAAATGAAAATTGCGCAGGTCGTAGTATCCCTGGAATATGAGCATCGTTAATTCTGCTTTCCTCTTGGAACGGAGACCCACCTACGACTTTCATGGGACCGATGGTAGATAGATTTCCGTACTTGCGTACATTGCGAAACCAGAGGCTGGGCAGGCTGCTCACCGTGTGACTCTTGACTGACTGACAGGTGTCTACATCGTAGTTAAACAGAGTGTGGTAGTTCTTAGAGTTCTCAATCTGGAACTGCACAGTTATGGACGCGCTAGCGGGAGGGATCGGTCTATATAGACATCCCACATTCAGGTAGCCCTCGGCTGTCAGCCAACTCTTCATTCTCGGAAAGTATTCGCTATTGTGTTCGTAGCTGACGTTTGTAAACTTACTTCGTGGCGCCACGGCTTCAAAAGCAGAATGCTATGGAAATCGGTACTCTATTTCGATATTGATTTAGTTCCACTTACTCAGCGCTGTCTGCATTGGAGTTGTAGCAAACAGCAGGACGTGAACCAAGAGCAGATGCATGACTGCCCCATTGCCAGTGCACAGAATCAATGAAAATGTGATTCGCTAAATGGAAAACTACCACGGCCGTAATGAGCCAATAATGGGAAATCAGTTTAATATTAGATTAGGGAGAATCTTGATCAGTTATTGGATTGATATTGCATAAATTATATGACTCAAAGGTAATGGAGTGTATCGAATGAAGTTTTATAGCAGTGGCTTTAGAGATGGGAAAAATTTAACTGTTACAACGTACAATAATTTCTCTATATTCAGTATTATATATTTGGCATAAAACTTACTAGAATGTAATGTTTATATTACTCTAGAAAAAGCTCAGAGTTAGTTTAACTCAACTTGCCCATATCTCCGTAATTTGAGATAGTTTGCTGTCTTTAGAGCTGGCTTCAATCATACTTGGACCAGTTTCATATATGAAACTCGACTCGAAATCAGCTGGGCAAAATCTGTGAATATTTCGCAATATAACAGCAAAAACAATTTTTACAACAATTTTTTCTGCTAACGGCATTTTGCGCAGTTGACAAGCCGATGGGAGCAATCCATTGAACAAGTGTAAATCTAGCAATCAATCAAATGCTTTCAATCAGCCAATCAACAGCCTCAAATTGATTGACAACATGTTGACAGTTGGAAAAACGAATTGAGCTGCTGCCATCTAAAGTTTTTGGGCACGTGTGTGATTCAGTGTGCGTGTGTGTGAGTATGATTGTGTGAGTAGACCCCCCATATTGAGTTAAAGCGCCTGCCACATAAACATTCAAGTTCAATTTCTTTGGCTCTATGGCAGAGGCAACTGCAGCTAACAACTGACAAGCTAACCGTAAAGCAAACTGAAAGTTGTTGCATCTAACACATACAACTGACGTTGATGCTGTTGTTGTTACTGTTGTGGTTGGTGTTGATATTGGTGTTGTTATTGCTGATGTTGGTTGGTTGCTGTTGGCGCTGTCATTGTCGTTGTTTGTCAAAGCGGAGTTTAATTGGAAACACAGTTGGGTGTTGGTTTTGACCGGTTCACGGCTCCATCTCTATCTCCAGCTCTGGGTCTGGCTCTGGCTGCTGCTGTCTTCATCAAGCACAACGGTAAAACTGTAAAGCGCAGACAGCTGATGGATGCGGACATTTCGATTCATTCTCGAGGCCAGGCCAGAACAAACTTGTTTCACAAAATAATCAAATGTTATATTACGCATACGCCGCGGCTTGCAGCCGACTTGAAAAGAAATGCTTAGCAGTTTGTTTCTGTTTATTTTTCCTTTTACCTTTTTTTTTTACTCTTGATTGCTCCAACTGAATTCAGAGCTTGCAGTTTAATTGCAAATTATTCAAATGCTCCACAGACGGCGGCAAGTCGCGCTTTGCAGCTGCCGTCACTGTTGCCGTTGTCGTTGCCGTTGCCATTGCCGCCTGCTGCTGTCATAACTAGTCGCCCGACAGCCACTGCCACGCTCCGAACCCTCCCCTGACTCGATTGTCGCTTTGCAATTATGTCGGAAATTAACAACAGCGCCCGCAACTGCCGACCCAAAAGGCAAAACAAAAAATAAATAATAAACATAGACACTTATATACATATTTACTATACATTTATTTAGCATGTGAAATGCGCAAAAATATTTCAATCTTTTTATACCCTGAGCCCATTGAAAATGGAAAATCAGGGTATAATGGCTATGTGTAAAAGTATATAACAAGCAGAAGGAAGCATCGCAGACCACATAAAGTATATATATTCTTGATCAGACGACGAGCTGAGTCGATATAGCTCTGTCCGTCTGTCCGTCCGTCCATCCGTCCGTCCGTCTGTATAAATGCGTCGATCAAATAAGATACAAAAGCAAGAGAGCTGAAATTTGGCATGCATACTCGAGTGTATCATACGCATTACGAGTTTATCTTATTATACCCTGAACCCATTGAAAATGGGAAATCAGGGTATAATGTTTTTGTG